TTAATGATGGATTTAAAAGGGATGGTGGCGGATTTCTCTGTTTTATATTGTTGATGATTCAGACATAGGCATAGGCAGGCTCAGAAAATGATCATATCAACGTGTTAATCCTACCCAATTACGATATCAAATTTTATGATTTGAAGACCCCGTGGCGCAGTTGCCAAGGTATTGGCTTCGGCGTCAGGGGTCGTGGGTTCGATTCCCACACGGGACAACTATTTGTGTGAACCACAGATAGTTGTTTCGCATCTGGGTGTTTGTCCACGTGAAATTTATATTTGTAAAACGTACCTACAACACAGGACAATGTTATCCTAAAGTAAGGGGAATGTGTTTAAAAAAAATAACAAAAATATAATGCGAGTCGGACTCGAGCACGAAAGGTATTACCATTATCAATAAAAACGGCAAGAAAAATCATGTCTGTTGTTTGGGAGCCCCACATAAATATTTTTTAATCTGTTTTTATGGCGTACCCAAATGATAAAACGGGGCCTTATTACTAGTATGGAACGCTTCGTGCGCGACTTCCAATCGCACTTGGCCGGTTTTTTATGTTTGTTTCTGAGAACTCCATTATTTATACTTTGGATTCGGATTTATACTTAGCTCCCATGTTGATTATATTAATATTAGACCTAGGAATTCACTGAGCCGTGACAGCTCAGTATCCGGGCGCTCGCCTTTAATTCAATATACTCGAGCAACCTGAATTCGAGCCCCGGTGAAGTTTTTAACTTTAAGTGAGGTTTACAATATCGTGAGGAAACCTGCATATTTTCTTTCTAAAAAAATATTTTTCGAAGATATATGAAGTCCGCCAATCCGCAGTGGGGCCGCGTGGTGGACTATGCCCTGATACTCTCTATATAGAGGAGGCCTTTGCCCAGCAGAGGGACATGTATAGGCTGTTACTTTACTTTTTTTAGACCTAGGAATTCAGATGACCTCCAGGAAACTTCTCGAAATAAATAGATAATGCATGCTATGCATAGTTATGATTGTTTTTATGGATATGGATGCCCGATGATTATTATTTAGAGGTATGAAATGAAACGACAATAATAAATGCTCGACATTGTATTTGGAAACATTCACAAGAAACAAACTTTCATTTTTTTAAACTATATCAACAGTTAGTCATTTCCCATACTTTGTATGGGAGAGTCGGCAATTGACGTAACCTTTACAATTATCCGTTTATTTATTTACATCTCTTAGCACCGTTAGCTCTAAATTAGACTAGAATTTTATCATATATGCTTCTATTTACAGTTTTTACATTATATACAGTTCATATGTAGCATGAGTACATTATTATCAGACAAATAACATTTAAAATTTCTCATAAAGTTACAACTTTTAACTTTCCTTTGTTTTAAAGATTTTAAAAACATTAAATATAAAATTTATAAATAATTCTCTAGATATAACCGGTTATTTAAAACCTAAAATTAATATTTTACACTCGGAAATCAATTTCATTATAAAATGTGAAAAGACAAAGTTTTGCCGACATAATTTGTCCTCAATTTCGTTACATAGTACAGATATAACTCCACATAGCAGTAGGGAAGATTAAAGTAGCTTCGTTCAATTTTAAATATTTATTTCAACAACCGCTAAATTCAACTGAACGCGACGTGGGGAAAAAAGCAAACCGGCGCGTCGGTCGGTTTATCTACTGCCCACTTAGTTCGAGCGTACACATAAATTTATTTGGGGCCCGTTAAAAATATGGAAATGTTACCATTCCGACCGTATAGTGCGCGCTGTGGCGTGCTAGTATTACTATCAAAACACTGTTTGTTTGCGCGACGTGAGCGAGCATTATATTCGGCCGAACATGCGCCGACATGTTTGCGTTATGGAACGGGGGCAATCTACGGCCCGTTTGATGTTGTGCCGTTAGAATAAACGGGGAATGGATTGCGGTGGTTCTGGGAAACGAACAGTACGTCAAAGCCGCCGCGACTATAATGGGGCGTCAAATGCCGCTGAATACGGCGGTAGGGCCACGCAGCAGCGTCGGCTATTGCACGAACGGGAAGGCTCAATGGGCAGGCCGGGTAAGTACCATAACCTCATAAAAGACCGGCGTAAAGTGGAAGTATAATACTTTCGCGTTTCGTCTGGTGAGTGAGGTGACCGGAGCCCAATTTTCAAGAGCTTGTCAACGCATCTGGAACCCTCGGGTGTAGCAGATGACCATGGGCGGCGGTATTCACTTAACATCAGGTGCACTGTCTGCTAGCTTGACAACTTTTTAAAATGAAAAAAAGAATAACGAAGCTTAGGTAGCATCGGCGACAAGACCCGGATCCTCAGTTTTTCCGACAAACGAACGCGCTCGTAATCCGAGCGGCTTCGGAAGAAACTCGAGCAATCTGAGATGCTAAGCGTCGGTGAAAAGACCGCGCCGCTAACTGGATAAATTGTCGTTTGGCTTTATGACACTCCGCGTGTGGCTCGAGGGTGATGCGGGCCAGGAAAGTAGCGACTGACGATTAATACATTGATGAATTATATTAGAGCCGTGATAGCTCAGTGTCCGGGCGCTCGCCTGAGTTAAAATCCCTGTGCCAGCACCAATACTTATTTATTTAAAGTGCTGACTTATCATGGGTTCGGGGGTGAATGAAAACATCGTGAGGAAACCTGCATATTTTCGAACTAATGGCAAACGTTAGCAAAAAAGAAAATAGTAAAACCTTAAAACGCTCTGTACAAATAAGGCCTGAGCTCAGCTGTGGGGCATGTATAGGCTGTTACGTAAACAAACGCAATAATGTATGTTACAGTACTGCGTTGTCATATAATCTGTGGCAGTTTGTGGTCATCAGATCCTTATGAAACACGTGTTCAGTAATTATATGCGATAAGTTAAAATACTTACTCATTATATTTGAAATAAATATACATGATATAAAATCGTAATTAACATAACACATCGATATAATATCGCTGAACACACATGTAAACCGGCTCGCTAGTTTCGTGGCCGCGCGTGAGTTCTTCTTACATCGGTCGACGAGTGTTACCGCGGCTACTACGGGGTTCTGGGTATCAATCATGACGTTTTCACATGCTCTCGTGTTGGCTCCCGATTGTGACGTCACAATTGTAAAATTCCACGCCGAAGTGGTAATCGCGGCCGGACGGACGCTCAAAGAGCGCTAAGTATACGTTATTTGTACGATCACACGTCGCGATCAAAGGGCATGCCCACGTGGTTTACATTGTTAATTAACAGATGCGTGTACGCACTATAGAAACGCATTATAGCGCCTTCAGCCTACTTAAACATTCACATCACTGTTCAGTACACTCGAAATATAACAACCTAAAAGCCCGGTCAGGACGTAATTTTTTTAAAAAAAGTTTCTCCACGCATTTCTTCTACATACTTCTTCCCGGAGAAAATATAAATCTTCCAAGTAGTAGTCAAATAGTAATTCTATTTATATTTGGACAATTTCGAGAGTAATTTTATTATGCTTGTTATCTTATAAACGATTATCCGGTTTTAGTAATATGCGTAGATAAACACAGTCAACGGCTCTTGGTACATAACGGAAGATTTGTCATCGTAAATATATTTTACTTAAAATTTCTTTAAAAAAAAACTAAAAAATGTATACAATTCAATAAAATAATCGCCCAAATATTGTAAGTAGGTTTTGAGATGGCTTACTTGCTTGATTCTACGATTATCAATTTAAAGACGACATAAAAAAAGGCTACAAAATTATGTCCACTTTCGTGCAATTCACTAGAGATGGGGACTAAGACCATAGGATTGCAAGTTATTGTAATTCAAATCAGTTGTCTAAAGTAACTTCCGATAGAAATAATACAAATGTATGTGACTTACTCTGAAATGTTTTTGCTACAACCCAACTATAAAAAGTCAGCTTTCAATTGCAAGTTCTCGTGAAATTAAAGTCATCTAGTGAAAATGATGGACACGTATTACAAGAATAACTTTAAACTAATGTTGAGCAACGATCTATGCCTGGTGTTATTCTAATAAATATGTATCGCTCTAGATAACTAAAATGTTCACAACTGATTCAATCATTCGTTTTCTTTTGACCTGACACTTTATACGTTACGCTTATACGAAATCAGTAAAAATCGATATGTACAACAGATTAAACTATCAAAGGAACACAGTCAGTACTTATTTGTATTGAATTATGTACATCGGAGGGGTGTTACTTGCTGGAAGCACTGTAAAGACTGTTTTAGTGTATTGTCAAGGTTTTTTTTTTTTCAAATTACTACAACTATGAAGTCGCCTCGACTTTAGACAACATAGACAAAATCAATGTTTGATAACTTTCTCAAGTAGGTCAGTATAGATGCAATAAAATAACTACTGTGTTTTAATAATTATATAAAATTTGGCTAGCCTTGATTTTGGGATAGCTTGGAAAACTTTGTGGTCAAAGTACATTGTATTAGGAATTGATATAAAACTCGCTGAAATTAGATGCGTGTTCCAAAAGTCCAAATGGGACCTTTATCTATCGGAAAACAAAGAGAAAGTTGAACAGAGTATTTAATTTGACTTGACTTGAGACGTATTCTTTCTTTTTAATTACTCTTTTCATTCTTACACAACAATGGATCAAGCCATTGAAAACGTGTACAAAAAGAAATTTCAATTAGAAAAGTGTATACGGGCATAAAAGCCGTAATTTATTGAAACAAAAAATGATTCTAAAAGTCCTTTTACCAAAAGTTTTGTACAAATTTCATATTAAGTCAAAACCTCATAAAATTACACAGTCAAAAATGAACTATTACCCATGAATTAAGATTTCTCTTTAAATTTGCATCTCTCGGTCTATCTGATATAATAGACTACGGTGAAGGGGCATTATCTGGTTAAGGCAAGGACGAAAGTATTATTAAGTAAGAAGGTAATAAATTCTTCGTCATTACATCAACGACCATTAGAGTCATTGCAGTGCTTCCAAGGAATCGTTTTATATACAGCTCTCTTGCACGCGGTGGGATGTGGTTACCACCTCTGGTCGCAGACGGTGGCTGGTGAGCGATGACGTCACAGCAGTGGTAGCGCCGGGACTGCCGGCAGCCACTCCCTTGTTCGTCCGCCCTAGACTATGGTAAGACTGGAAGGGAAGGAGCTTTGAGTATTACAATTGCAGTGACGTTTATATGGATGGAGATGTTGATGGACAAAACTAAAGACAGAAAAATAGATAATTACAGACAAATAGTCTCTGCTAACTAACTCGTATCATTATCTGAATGCATTAATGTTCACCACCAGAAAAATGGGGCTAAAACACGCTTTAGATTGAAAAACAGTATAGCCACAACACTACAAGTCTGGTAACTACTCAAATTTGATTCGAGATGGAATGATTTATTTGTGAAAATTTTATCGTGCTCCTGAAGAATGGAAAATGATAAATGGTTTATTTTTTCTCGTCCTAAGGTTGTCTGGAAGAGATCGCTTTTTAGCGATAAGACCGCCTTATTGTACCTAGCTTTTAAGACTTATTTTATACTAATTGTATCAAATTCTTTGTGGTGTACAATAAAGTATATAATAATAATAAAGGAATATGATAGTTACTTTCAAATGAAAAATGTGAAAGTAACCAAATTTTACTTGAGTTGCATAGGCCTAATAAAATTCTCCATTTGGCAACAATTTTGCAACAATCAGCATTGATTGATGCGGATTGTTTCCTCCCCTCTTCCTCCAATTAACGTCCTGTATTTTTCCAAGATATTATATTAAGATAGGGTTTGTTTATTTTATTTACTGATAAACTGATCCTGAACATAGCAAAATTAGATTAAATTTATGTTTACCTCATTTTTTCATTTCTTTACCTATAGCTTCATAGGTTGTTCATTACATATTTAGATAATATGAGTGATAATAAGAGATATAAAGTGCTCACACTAGTTAGAGGTATCTTGTAATCCTTTTTGCGTAACTCGGAATAGAACCCGCCACCTTCCGGTTCCGTGCGCACGTCTTCGCCGGGCTTGCTGATTTTGGTGGCGGACGGTGGCCGTTGCAGACTCATGTAGCCATTGGACACTGGCCTCCGTTCTAGACAAAAGGGTGATAAATTTAACTAATTGACAAAAAATATCTGGTAGGTTTGATTGCTACACCATTTGCTTACAGATTAGTAGCAAAGGTTCATTCTTATTGCCGAATATATGTCTCAGCTGGCCATAATGGATCGGTTCAACCAGGGCAATACGTTCATTATTATTTTATTTATTTATTTCTTTTTTTTTTTAAACGCCACGTTTACTGTAGGATAACATTATCCTGTGTTGAAAGGACGTTTCACAAACATAAATTTCACGCGGACAAACACCCAGAAGCGAAACAACTATCTGTGGGTCACACAAATAGTTGTCCCGTGTGGGAATCGAACCCACGACCCCCGACGCCGAAGCCAATACCTCGGCAACTGCGCCACGGAGTCTATGCTTTTGATTTTCATCCGGTGAGCGGATACCGGCCTACAATCATAATGACTTGTAACGCACCTGCTTTTTTGTGTGGCAGATATTTTGGCGACTTATACTTTATACTTCCTTTGGCGAGTTGGGAAATTTTTACGATGCGCAAGAACACCGTAAGCTAAAAAGCGACATGATAAAGTTGGATGCAAAGCGACCAACTTTGGCCAACTAACTTCACGGTGCTACCATGGCAACCAATAACAACTTTATTACCTGTTTTATTTAATCAAGCAAAAAAATTTCCTTTTCGTCTTGGTGATCATTTAACATCAGGTGATCGAATGCATACCGCTTTCTTATAAATTACAAATTCCAGCAATTAAATTATTTTGTGGCTTTTGTGTATTAGCATTTCTGGTTTAGAATGGACTAATTATTAAATATATACGTGAGTGAAATATGGATACTAGAGTGAATGAAATATGGAAGTAGAATAAATTTCCGCCACGACGTACCATATAGACTTGGTATTATGTCGGGATCGGCATCATCTGCCTCGCGGGAGTCAGGGGACCTCAAGAGGGGTCCCCTGGCCTCGCTCGGGCTTGACCGCGGCGCGACCTCTTGCTTCACAGGGGTTGGACAGTGACCAGCACGCTCTGCATACATCGCCTCACTGTTAAAGAAACGCATTTTAATACTTCAGTAAATTTAATAAACCAAAATAGGAATTTTGTTTCATTCTGTTCACTGGTTCATACGTATAAATGTAAAATCTTAATAGTAATTATTGTGCTATTCCTTTAATTAATGTGCACGCTTTGTCTTAATCTAGTTCTACTTTGTCATTTATTGTTTAAATTTTTGGTATGTACCGAAAATCGGTAAATAGTGCTGAGTATATACACCTATTTAGCTTAATGCATTAGTTATATATTCTTTTAATTGTTAACATAACTGTGCTATTTGTTGTAACTAAATATTCATTCATTCATGATCATTTAAATATGTCGATCGAAAAAAAATTTCCTGTTGTTTGTCAACGGAAATAAATCACGAAACAAAGTTCATAACATTAACGCGCACGATATATAAAACATTTGTGTTACAATGGAAATCAACACGAAGTGCTAAAACGTTCCTATATTAAACGAGCCTCCAACTCAAGTTCTAGGGGCGAGACGCGACGCTACGTCGTCAATGTGGAGTACCTCAAGGGCGCGTGTTTCGCTGGCAGGCGGCGATGGCGCGTGGCGTGTCTGCGATACAGCACAGCCAGCACCCCGCAGACTGCCGTCGCTAGGAGAGCAGACATAGCCGCTATAGACGCCAGCACGGGCGACATTCCCAACGTGTTGCTCTCGCCTATAGGGAAAGGGAGCCGTGAAAGTTTGTACGGATGGATGTTTGTTACTCTTTCACGCAAATACTACTGAATGGATTTTAGTGAAACTTTACAATCATATTATGGCTTATACATCAGAATAAGACATAATATAATTTATATACATAATTAATGTACATCTGTCTTTCTGACTTAATATTACACCTTCAGCTTATTCTACGGAGACGTAGTCGCGGGCAGCAGCTAGTAATCAATATATCACGAAAATTTATTAAATGTATTCTTTTTAATTACAAAGCAATTACGGATCGTTTGGCTTTTATTTCATTTTTAAGCATCAATTGATTTTATCGTATTTAATTTTAGCAATTTGTTTTTTTTTAACATACTGTGGTGTACTTTAATCTTTGCTAGGGCCACGCAACACTTTTCACTGTCGCACGAATAGGCAGGTCCGTCCGGATAAGTACCACGACCTTGCAGAAGACCAGCGTAAAGTAGAAATGTTTCACTTCTGCGTTTCGTGTGGTTAGCCGGGGCCGACCTTATTTAAAGGTGGCAATGCATTTGCAACCCTACGGGTGTTGCAAATTTCCATGGGCGGTGGTTATTACTTAACATCAGGTAAACCGCCAGCTCGTTTGCCACTTTTTCACATAAAAAAAACATGCATGATCACTGTACGACAATTGCACTCTGTACGTATATGTATAATAAAATTAGAATTAATCGCAACAAGATCTGTATCAAATATTATTCACATAAACATAAGATGTCGTAATTGTATATATAACATTTTTTCATTAAACTTTAAACCTTGAGATTTTTAACGAAAACGAAATGATATACCCGTTTCAAGTGGTTTTTTTTTTTTTTTTGAGAATAAATGAAATGAAATTTTGTTAATAAAATATAAATCGGTGATACAATTTATATTTTCGCCACACCATGATGTCGTCAAGAGAGAAAACTATTTCTAAATTGTTCACTATAAGACCAACGTATTAAACTGAACGTTTTGCCAGATTTTTTGATTCATACAGTCTTACGCCTTAGTCTATACTTGGATCGTGGACCTCAATAAAACGCTTTACTGGACGTTGAAGGATATACTATACGCTCGGCTGAGCTTTCTCCATGCATTATGTATTTTGATGATGTTTCCTTCGAGAAATATATCGAGATATATTGAATAAAGATACTTTGATGAAATAGTTAATAGGTATTTTTGTTTTGCTTCGGATAAAACTTGCTAGCGAAGGTCTGGACTTTGCAGTGGTCTTGTGGCTGTTAGGACTATGAAGCAGTCTTGCGACTGCTTTAATCTCAGCCAGTAATAGTCTCCTCGTTCCAGAACGGAAAAAGACGGAGCCATTCCACGCCTCCCCGGTGGAACCCGACCGAATCCATTAATATGCAAATTTGCAACATTATGTCGCGCGGCCGCTAATCGTGAACAATTATGTCCCCGCCTTAGCGTATGCTATTCGGCGACGTAAATTTAAATTACGCCGTATTCTAAAACGGCGAGTTTTATTCCGGTTTAATAGCTTTCCACTCTGGATACTGTGTTTATATTTGTTACGGCGCTGTAATTTGTCGGAGCGGAAACTATTTCGTTTAAACATTATCCAGTTTTGAGGACTTCAGCCTTTTAAGTTTCTGAAAGCGGAGAAGAAAACCTAGTTCGCGGGTATGAGTTTTATGGATTCATGTCGTAGTGCGTCACCCGATCAACTACGTATTCAAGCCTATCTCATTTAATTAATAACATTTTTATCTTCATATAACAACGAGTATTGCAAAAACTAAAACGGCCTTACTAAAAACATTCAAATAGGTCTTTATGGCAAAAATGAAGAATTAAATGGATATTCCTTTAAATTTACAACATTATGATGCATCAGTTGGAAATGCTTTCAAACGATAAAGAAGACTGATACCACAAGTTTTAACAACCAATACTTAACATGATACTGTAGAAATGTTTTACATTGTGCTAGCAAGTTCTGCCGCACACTGGATTTTTGGCCGGAGCCCATATCAAAAATAACTTCGAACTCAGTTCAGACTCTAAAAGAAAATAACTTTAGTTCAGAACAACTGCTAACTCTGAGCGACAACTTAAGACCTCGCCTACGTGGGACGTCGTTACAGCCAACGAAAATGCTACTATTCCGTGGCGTTATGCAAAAGCTCCGTTGCAGTTAAATAATAAGCATTCGAAATATTAAAACCATTAACGGAAAGTGGCCCCTCGGAACGCGACACGCGATGCGAATTAGTTCGCGTTATTTCTTCATGAAAGCACTTTAAGCGTTACGGTTGAAAATTGGCAACCTATTTCCCCGATTCAATATTATTTATTCTGTTGTAAAATTATTTTATTGTTTTGTAAATGGATACGCTCGTTTTTACTACTACCACTATGAGAAATATTAATTTCCATAAAGTGGAAAGCTGTTAATTGCATATTGAAAACACTTAAATTTTATATATTTGTGTAGAATAAATGTACTTTTCTTTTTTCATTTTAAGTGTCTTCTGGGTGACAATTAAATGTAAGTTTTTAGACTGAAAATGTTGAAATGAAAAGAATTGGAAAAATTTGTGACGTTAAAAAAATATTATTAGCCAGACCCATTAGTGTGTCTTACCTATATGGTTTAATGGTTTTATATACAAATTATTACCATAGAACATTTTTATACTGTTCAGAAGTTTTGTGAATTATTTTATATTTGAAAGCAGTTTCAGTTCTTATCAATTATGAAGGCAAGGATATCTTATTAGGCAAAACAGTTTTCCATGCAGTTAAGGGATTAAAATTTTTTGCCTAACAATTAATATATTTCATACTCGTTAATTGGGGTGTGTGGTTACCATGATAATCGAAATGCTACATGTGGAAATGATATGAATATTAAAAAAAATGGATATACACATATATACACTACCCTAAAAATATATCCAAACAAAAACGAAATCATAATATAGTGCTGTGTAAAAGTACAAAAATATTTCGTTAACATTACGAATTCAATTATTTCGTGCAACGAATCACGATTGTCAAGATCAGGTCAAAGACCGACAAATATTGTTTAATATTTCAGGAACACCTGAAGTGTTAGCGAATTGCAAACTCGCTCGCGGCCGCGTAATAATTTGATGCATTACGTTATTTTTGCGAAAGAAATCGGCACGGAATTGAGCCGTTTGCCGCGAAGCCTGCCGTGACTTAGGCTCGCAAATTACAGGCCGACATGTATCGCGATATAACTGTTGCGGAGCAAATAAAGATTATGAGCGTGAACAAAACCTGTGTTAGTCTTCCTGACAAGACCGTTCGCTGTGTATCAGTGTTAGACGATGTATTCGATTGCGTTTAGCAAGTTAGCGCGACGTTTACAAGAGCGTTGAATATGGTATATTCGATTGCGTTCTGAACGTAAACGCGACAGCAGTAGGAGTGTCGGACATATATTTTATCGTGGTTTGTACAATTAAATGTTTACTATCAACTGTGGTAGGACCACGTAACATTCGCTGTTGCACGAATGGGCAGGTCCACCTGGGTAAGAACCACGACCTCACAGAAGACCGGCGTGAAGTGGAAGTGTTATATTCCGTGAGTCTGGTGAGTGAGGTAGCCGGGGCCTATTTTATTCAAAGGAGACAACGCATCTGCAATCGTGTATCACGAATGGGCAGCCTCGCCCGGGGAAGAACCACTGCATGCCAGAGACCGGCATGAAGTAGAAGTATCATACTCCTGCCATTCGTCTAGTGATTGATATCTCAGCCAAGGTCCACTTTTTAAAAGGCATCGCATCTAGCGACATTGGTATTGCAGATCCATGTGCAGCGGTAACCACTCACCACCATCGTCTCTTCACCACTTGGCGAACCACTTGGTCTTTAGCAAACTTCAAAATATAAAGCGATATAAACAAAACCTACCTAATCAGTAATAAACAAAGCTATTCCAGTGATAAGTGATATTTCAACAAAGCTTATGTACGCCATGAACAAATCTGCACGAAACCATCGGGGCACAGTAAAACAGAATTAAGCGAATATAACACTGACCGGTATATTTGGCTTGACCCCTGAGGGTGACGGTCTCAATAGTGGTGACGTCGCTTCGTCCCTTCGCGTTCACCGCATACAGGTCGATCCTGTAAGTCACGCCGGGCGGCAGACCTCGCACCTCGAAATAGGGGGGCGTGCGATTCGTGGAAACGTTGTAGCGGACCTGTTGGGAACAAACTGTTGCTAACTCGCGATCCAACGGAATAGTTCCGGCTCCAACAGATCTAACTAACTGTAGGACATTTGGTTGGACATAGGTGGTATTTACACCTGATTGTGGTCTGTGTATGACCAGAGAATTGAATGATTTTCTACTATATCACTTATCATTTTCAATCATAAAATATTTATAGTGACAATCTGTGCACTTAAGATGAAAAATTAAAATTTGTAGAAAAATAGCACGAAAAACTTTTCGAGACGAAGGTTTTTCGTATATACTTTTTTCTACAAATTTTATTACAATCAATTATCAGTCATTTAATAAACAGAGATTTACTAGTAGCTTAAAAATAGATTTACGCTTCTTACAACCGGAACATTCAAACAATTTAAACCCTCAATGATTACGTTAATTTAATTCAACCTGTTCTATTAATTACCTCCCCGTTACCTGAGACGTGACCCTTACCGTTAATGACGGTAATTCGTGCAGCTCCATTAGGAAGGTTTGCGGCAGACCACCGTCAAAGTTCTCCACGCACTCCACGTACAAAGAGTCCAAGCTTTGATTTGCCACTGAGCAGTTCTGGAGTTGGAACGGGCGGCCTGGGTGAAAATATCAACAGGGTTAGTTCTGCACTGGTTGTGCGAATAGATTTTTACTGTAATAACAGAATAATGCATAACTAATTATTTTTTAATTAGTGACTGAATTACATTAATCAGTCATTACTGATTAATGGTTTTCAGACACTAATAACATATTATAATGACTGTATCAGACGTCAATAATTAACTGAGGACGTCTTCTAAAAAATGAGAATATTACTCGTACTAAAATAAATTTTAATAAGTCAGTTAGTCCGCTCATTACTGCTTATTTATTCTCTTTTGCTAAAATTTTTTCACAAAATTCGTACTTTAATTTTAATAACAATCAAGTAAACGGAATCTTCATTAGAAATACTGTCTCCAATTTGTCCCATTTTCGGTGACGGTACGTCAAGTTAGACTCTTAACGAGCGTAATAAAACGTACAAAGTATTCACTGTATTGTCCGTCAGTAATCATTAAAATCACGTGGAAGCTCATATTAATAATAGTCATTACAAATTACACCCTTACCAGCGACGACTAGTTGAAAGAGGCACGGCACCTTCTGCTGCCCAATAGAGTTTTCGCCGAAGCAAGCTAACGTGCCGTATTCCATATCCGATGTAGGTGTGTAGTTCAGCGTTGACGTGTTACCGTGGTTGTTATACAATCTGTTCAAGAAATTAATCAAATATAATATGAAATAGTAAATCACAGTATTTTTACGTCCATAAACAAGTGGACCAGCACCCAGGTCCGAAAAAATTATCTGTGGGCCATACAAATAGTTGTCTCGTGTGGGAATCTAACCCATGATCCGTGGCGACTACGCCACGGCTGCGGTTAGTATTTTTATCCTCCATATGTCTGAGCATACTTATAACACACACCTCCATCCTATCCTGTATGTGCCAATTCAAGTATCATATCACAAATGCTCGACGATAGTTTTTGTGCTTGCCATGTAAGCTGTGTATCACATAAACAGTAAAGAAGGTAGGGCCATGCAATAGCCTTCGAATACTGCACGAATAATAAATGGGCAGGTCCGTCCGGAGAAGTACCATGACCTCACAAAAGAAGATGAAGTGAAAGTGTTTCATTTGGTGAGTGAGGCAGTCGGGGCCCACTTTATTCCAAGGTACAACGCACCTTCAATCCTACAGGTGTTGCAAATGTCAATGGGCGGCTGAGAAAGTTACATTGACGATTTAAAAAAATGATGGTTTTAGGAAGTTTATTTCTTGAACTATAAATTCATGCTACTACTAGAATGTTACTTCTAGCTGTAATAGAACTATGAAACAATATAATAAAAAGAGACAACGGCTATAACGGTTTTAGCAAAGTAACTTGGATAATTTACGTCCAAACCTTGAAAATTAATCAAGTATTCAAGAAGAGTACTTGGGAAAGATTTGGAAAGACCTTTTTAAAAGGCCCTCTCTACTTCGTTAATTAGTTAGAATATCTTATTCCGAGACCAAATTAATTTAAAAAAATTTTTCATAAAACTGAGATTCTTGTACAATACTGTTAGATTGCTCATTTACATCATACTCGTATTTATAATTATTGTCATTGTACGAATTTTTAATTAGATCTTTACTATTGTATTACTTATTTGCAGAAATTTAATACTTTGTATTACTTATTTGCAGAGTTTCATACCGTATTACCTTAGGGAGCGCACGTACGGGGGGTACTTTTCTTTTAATATGAGAAGGTGGCAAACGATCTGGTGGTTAACTTGATGTTAAGTGACCGCCGCCCAACGATATTTGCAACAACCGTTGCAGATGCGTTACCCCGACTATCTCACTCATCACACGAAGCGCAGAAGTATCAAACACTTCCATTCCACCTCGGTCGTCTGTGAGGTCGTGGTACTTACCCGGACGGACTTGCCCAGTCGTGATACAGAGAAGACTCAACCATTTCGTAGCCTTCCACAGTTACATGCGTTTCCTTAGGAAATCCTTTACATATTCTTAACCATGTGATATATGGATGCAAGAGCTTTAAATCAATCAACCTTTGTAGGAGTTCCGTATGTTCAAACTGTGGTTGGGGCCGCGCAGCCTCGACTGTTGAATGGGCAGGCTCGGCCGGATAAGTACCACGACCTCACAGAAGACCGGCGTAAAGTGGAAGTCTGTCAAATACTTTAGCGTTTTGTCTGGTGAGTGAGGTAGCCGAAGCCCAATTTTCAAAAGGATGTCCACGCATCCATCAACCCTAGGGTGTAGCAGGTGTCCTAGGGCGGCGGTATTCACTTAACATCAGGTGAACCGCCTGCTCGCTTGTCAAGTTTTCCCATAAAAGGAAATGTTCGCCCGAACCAACCTTGGTGGGAGTTCTGCTTGCTCGCCAGAGTTGTTGAAAGTCCAATGGAAGGAAACCAGCGCTGGGTTCGCGTCCACCACGCAGTGCAGCGAAACCGTCTCGTGTTTGAGGGCTCCGTACAGCTCGTTATCTTTCCTCTCCGCGCACACTGGGGCGTCTGCGAGCAAAGGCACTTGTGCTACTGCTACCTCATTGCAAAGCAAATTGCTACAACGATTGTTACGACGCAGTATATTACGTATATTACAGTGAACCAAATTTTTTTCTTGACTGCTGTAGCTATATTTGTATTTGTACTTTAGCAAAGTAAGTTCCACTGTGAACTCGTGTGATTCAGAAATTGAAAACATTTTTTATAATTCAACAAATAATTCTAATCCATTCAAATATTGAAAACTTTTTTTATAATTCAAAAGTCATTCGAAACTCTACCAAAGCTCAGAGGGACGAATATTTCATAAGACCTGTTTAATATTCCAGCTGAATTTTTTTAGAAAAAACTACGTGTATATTTGTACAAATATTACAATGTATTGCAATTAATGTATATGTTTGCTATACTTTTTTCTCTATTGTAACGTAAATCATTTTCCAATACAATGACAAATTGATTTCAGCTTATTGTTCCACAACAGTGTCACAGTGTAGTTTTGACTGCTATGAATAATAAACGGCGACGAACAATATAAAACAATTTTATACAGGGCACAAACTAAACTGTTAACTATTCAAAACAACAACTTCAACTCCAATAAAGCCATTCTATGCTAACAATACGACGTTTAAACAAGGGATCGTTATAAAACTTTAGATGGCGACTGTACCGAGCTTGTATCGATTGAAAATGTCCAAAAGTTTTCTAAATAGCCTGATACCGGAAACTAATTAACAGAAAAATCAATGAGCGAGCCTGTCTATTCATGCAACAGCAAACACTACATCGTGATCCTACCACGGTAGATGAAAATCCAATCTTGGTGTACGATGATAGGTAGCGATAGTCCCTCACCGTACAACAAGAACACGTGTAAATTGATTGATTTCTCTTTAATGTCAAGTTTCAAAATCAATAGATCATAGGGCGCAAGTCGAGTTCCCAACCACCGTGCCATTACTGCTTTCGATAGTGACACTTTGTTGTAAATCTCAGTGATTCACAGGGTAAGTTCCTACCCGTAAGATAATTACTATGTGCACGTTTAATGAGAAAATTAATGCCTCCAGAGACATCTGGTTAACCTACGCCGTAAGTTTGTAAAGCGCTCAGCAGGTAAATTCCGTTTTCTAAGTTATGTAAGCAGCGAGGCATTGCTATATTCGTTGGTACAGATGCTTCTATTTCATACTAAGGGAGAAAACTGTAATAAATATCATGCTCTAGAAATAACGTTTCCGAAGCTCGTAGGTAGAAAGGCTAAATATTAACATGAGAAAGCTTTCTAGCTTAAAATTTCTTGCATGAGAAATAAAAGAAGCCAATGTTTACAAGAACATATTCTTCTTGTCACACTAAATTCGTAGTTGTTCTTCTCACCCGGCATGAATAGGACTGAAAAAGGTTAATAGCTTAACCTGAGTCTGGATGGTTAGAAAAAGTAGCAATATACGTCGTATTTGTTAAAAATATTTATTTTACCCAAAATTAATTACACAGTCCTACACACTGAGTGAAGATCACAAAATAAACGAGATACATATACTAAAATAAAAAACAACTGAACCGAAACCTAAATATAAGATTTAATAAATTGGATAGTTTTAGCTTCAAGTTACTGCAGTAAACTCTTTTATTTATCTCGCAGCGTCTTCGCTGGAAAACGCTATTACGCTATGTGCATTGCCGAGCCGGAGTAAGCTGGCACTATAACTCACACTTAGCGAGGCGGCAGTGTATCAGTACAATCTCCGCTAATGCACTTACCCACAATAAACGCTACTCGGCAGGAGCGCTGCAGCACTTCCGGCTGCAAAAGCCTAGTACTCACCTGTATTGCTTTTGAAGCACCAACTAGATTCAGCATACGCGTTAAGTGCAATCGACGAAGGTATTGAATGTATTTTACTTGGTAATTTTGTAATATATGGACTAAGAGGATTGCCGGGTCTTATTTTGACTGCTGCAATTTTGGTAACCGATAGTGGATTTTCGATGCTTGCTAGCCGTAATTGATACAGTTCGCCGATTGACATAAAAGCAAAACTATAATTGTTTTAATGGCGAACATCACACAGCTGAAAAGGCTCGTAAAAATAATTTAACTCCTTATATTTTACTTAAAAATCTTCGGAATATTATGAATATTACGACAAACCTGTATGGTAACTTTTCATAAGACTATTTTTTTTTGTTTATAAAAGATATTTTGGTTTAAGATTTGAATATTTTCGCTATGAGCTACCTATATTATATACACATACTTCAAAAGACTTAATGATGTGTTTATTGCAACACCCATGAACCCATTGATCATCTAACCTGTAGTCTTCTGGAATGGCCTATATCCTTTCTTCTGGTGATTACAGGTTTTATATTAACTGCTACAATGTCTACCAATTTCTATTATTAAGAACATGGAAGAAACTCTTACATCTGACTTGGAGTGTAACCGGATTGCTGGTGCCTTTGCCCTCGCTGTTAGCTGCCATGCAGGTGTAGTCGCCAGCCGCTGTTCTGGTGACGCTTTGCAGCACGAGACTCTGAGCGCTCAGTATTACTCCGGAAGCCTCGTTGTGGAAGATCTCCGTGTTCTGCGTGGCAAGGGGAATTTATTGAAATTGTCATCACAACTCAGATCTTCATTTTATCTTTGCTACGCCTAGTAGATAGCCATTAATGACCAAAAAGCGTCCAAATGTCGGACAACACCTTTCTCAATACAGAGATTACTCTGGCAGATTTAACTGTGGTAGAGCCACGCCGGAGCCTCGGTTGTTGCACGAATGGGTGGGCTCGTCCAGGTAAGTACCCCGACCTCACAGAAGACCGGCGTGAAGTGGAAGTATAACACTTTCGCGTTTCGTCTGGTGGGTGAAGTAGCCGGGGCCCAATTTACAAAACGGTTGCCACCGCATCTGCAAAACCTCGGGTGTAGCAGATGTCCATGGGCGGCGATATTCACTTAACATCAGGTGAACCGTCTGCTCACATGATAACTTTTCACATAAAAAAGAGTAAAGACAAGTTCAAGCGATCCCTGTTATAAGACAAAATCAGTAATATTTATCGGTAGTACAACAAAATGGTATAAAACTGGGATTTGCTTTTAAAGTGGAGTTATGTTCTGAAACTTGATAAGAATATAGATCAGTTTAATTACGAATTGACAAATATCTTATATCTATGACGTTTTTAGTTCCAATAACACTGGCGATTTGATAAATCAAAACTTTAATTGAAGTTAAGAACATCACTGAATACATCATCGGAATTATTACGCGGGCTGCACAAGTTCATTGAATCATCATAGACCAGAGATTTGAAGAGATAGTCAGTGGATAAATAAGATAAACGTTGAAGTCCCATTGTATTTTTGTGAGATTGTATGGCTAGATACAGTCAAATTAATTCTGAACTAAAACTTAATTTTATGCGAGAAGGTGGTAAATGTGCTGGCGATTCATCTGATATTAAGTGATAACCGCCGCCCGTCGACATTTTAGACACCCGTAGTGTTGCAGATGCATCGCCACCGTATAATAAAGTTAGCCCGGGCTACCTCACTTACCAGATGACACGCAGAAGTGTAACATTTCCACTTCATGCTGGTCTGATGTAAGGTAGTGTACACACCCGGACGGACCGACCACTCGGGCAACAGAAAAAACTATTGCGTGGTCCTACCACAGCTAACGAACTAACAAGACCTCTCGAACCCGCCCTAAAAACTGCAAGACCCGCACACGCTTTGAAGGAAACTACAAAAAAAATAACTTTGAAACAAATTTAACATACAACTCTTACAATTATCCTTGATTTCGTAACACGTGAGGACCATTCTAAATTATATACGTTGAAGAGTGCAGTGCTCCGGTGCGATAAAACAAAAAGGGAAAACGTTTTAGTGTCTCGGCAACTTCGCGAATTAAAGACGAGAATATTAAACTAGCTCACGGAAAATAATTCACAGCTATGTTCTAGTCCTTTATAGCGTCGTTTGAATTTAGTTTGGCTCGAATTTAAGCAACAAATGTTCACACTGAAACGGATCCAAATGACTAATTTTAGCGTATTTATTCACATTGCCTTGCATTTATACAATTTTTTCTGTCCATCCACCACACACCAATGTTACTAGATGAACTTAATAAATTATAAATCAATCCTCTGCCTCATTAAAACACTGTATATATCTTAGTGGATTTTTCTTATATTCAATCAGGATTCCTACCGTGCTTATGAATTTTCCAGGGATACTATTTATTTTTGTTTGGATTTCATTGAATACTGCTGCTAATACTATTTTTCCATCCTAAATTAAAAGACGCTATCAAGACTCAATGTACATTATTTGTGATGGTCAAAGCTTACTTATCTTAGCGACAGTTTAACTTTCCCAAGAGTGAATAAAGACACTCATCTTGGTTTCTATTTGTATATATACTATGGTAATACATCTTGATACATCCTTGACTTGGTGGATAAATTGTTCTTTTCCCTTTCCAACCAGATCATTCAGCCGGAAAACTCTAAAGTGCGTAACACAGGGTTTTAAATATAGTATTTCCAAAAAAAAAAAAAAATCTTGCCACATAACTGTGGTTCGAAGTCGTGACTTCCTCGCAACTCGACATCCTCGGCCAATTGTCCACCAATTATTCAACTAGTGTGTGATAAAGATATACGATAGATTATGTATACTGTGAACTGACATTTTATACTGTGACTTAACTGTGATTTAGAGCTATTTTCGTTTGAAAACAAACATGGCTGTAGTCGGCTTCGTCGTACTTCATATTGGAAAAATGATGTTAATGGTTAACTCAGATTTTCATATATATATCACCTAGATTGGGTCGGCACAACATGTGAATCATGTTGTAAGCGGTTATGGCTATTTTTTTACGGCCGGGCGCCTGCCTAACCCTTGGGAAACAAACAACCAGATGTAGAACAATTATCATGGGTCACAGAAAGACTTCTCCTGTGTGGGAATCGAACCCACTCTCAACAATCGACTCTCAACGCCGAAGCGAATAGCTTAGCAATGTTGCCGTTTGGCACCGTTAACTGAGATTAGGTTAACTTAGATATTTATTATTATTCGTTTCCTCAGTTCCTATAGAGGATATCCAAAAATGTAGACAACAGATCTGCTTACATTTATGCGTCAACAACAATCAATTAATAGCTAACACAAGCAAGGGTGGTCTATAAAAACGATGGCTGATGCCGCAAAATTAACGAGGCTTGAGGTCACGGGGTGAAATATTATCAGAGTTCTCGGAGTTTTCATTTTTTTTTCTTAAATCACTGCCTCAATTTATGTCCAATTGAAGCAACAGGTAGCAATCAAAAATGTTATTTCATAAGAAAATGATGATGAAGAACATCCAGATATCCGACATTTTTATCACATTTGTTAAACAAATATTTCGAAGACATACGAACCACAATGGTGATACATGATAGAGTATGTCCGAAAAGTGTTGAAACAAGATGCATCTCTTAGTATTATTTATTCATCACTAGCGGACCCGACGGACGTTGTTCTGTGCATACGACTTAAATTCGACAACTTAGAAAAAATGCAGTGGACTGAATTGTGAATCTAAACCATTCTCGACTCAACATGAATACACAAAAAAAATCATTAAAATCGGTTCAGCCGTTTAGGGAGTTCCGTGCCATATATAAAGAAGATTAGATCTTTCATAAGAGCCCGACTAAGGTTTGTTAAAACAATGCAACATCATTTCTTTTAGTGTATGCTTCATGTTAGTGACAATTTAATATCTTAGTTACTATAATTTCATCTACTTTACATATAACACATTATACTTACGTGTATTTCTTATCTACATTACATGTTACACGGTATTAATATATTTTACGTCATTACTTACGTCATGAAACCAGACCAATCGATGGGTCCTCGGGTTCGCTTTCACCGTACACTCGAAGTAAACGTCGTCCCCCTCCTTTATCTCGTTAGGGTTCAAATTGGATCCCATCTTGAGATCAACGATAGGAACATCTGTAACAGAATCATTCGATTAAGTTGCTTTATCCTCTTCGAGTAAAATAGATTGTTCTTTTATATGACTTAATAAATTAAATCGAGAACGACGGGCGGGATCAGTTGCTCCTTATTTTTTTCATTGCAAACATATTTTGTGGTTTCACTTTTTATTACTAAGTTTTACTTTGAATTATCTTGTTAAATTTTTCCTTTACATACGATTTTAACTGAAAAAAACTTCTTACTGATGAAACACAATTACTTATTGAGTTAGTTAACTCCGTAATGGATAAATATTTGCCTCCTTTCAATAAATTAATTATAGCAAATCGATTAAAATTATATGTACCTGAAAAAATATTTTAATAGCCACAAAGTATTGACGTGAAAACAATTTCAAAGTTGTATTGATTTCTAATTTTTAAGCAACCAATACAACTTTTAAATTGTTTTCAAATTTCAAATCCTTTCCAGCATTATTTTTTTACAGAATTGACAATGGCCCGAGTTAATTCCGAGATTAAGACGTGAAACAAATCAGTCTGTCCCGTCACCATGAGCGCTGGAAAGTGTTCAAAACCTCGGGAATTTAAAAATCTAATAAAAGGCGATAAAATCCGTAAAATAGTTTCATTTAACAATACCAAAGTTGTATTTTTAAATTGTAATTGAATAAAGTTCATTGTTTATGTTTCCTTCCTACATAGAGAAATGAGTTTACACATAAATTATGTTCTTATTCGATAATAATCTTGATTTATCGAGGCATAAAAGCAGCATGAAAATAAACAAAAACCAGATATCAATGCGAGTTACACAAAAATACGTTACCGAGTCGACGTTTACGATTCACAGGGACCAAAACATTATGAGGCATCGCATTTTTATGCCATCAATGAAATTGATACGCACTAATAGTTGTAAAATCGATAGCTCTCGATTATACAAGGTAAATAGAAGCGTAGGGGAGAATGGATTACAACACTACGAAGCTTCGGTCACATCTAGCGAATTTTATTTTTAGCCATCGTAATACCGCGGGAGCATTTAATTAAAATTTATGAAGCAATATAAAGTTAAGAAGGAACAAATTATTAATATCGCCGAGTTGGAGGATTATCTCGAGTAGACTACGACAACTTCGACCTCCTTCCTCATACCTCAACGTGTCATCTTCAGAGATTTATTAAAATCTCCCCCAAAAGTGTCCAACTCAATCCTTAATCTGGAGACGTGACAGATTCTTTCAGAAAAATACCGCAAACGAAGGCCGTTTCCACTAAAGTCGTAGCGGATTTCAGAGTTCGTTATATAATCGAGAACAAATAGATAAATTTTAAAGCTAATCATTGTGAAGAGATATTTTAAACAAATCTAATTGAAACGGTATTTAATATAACTATAATTTATATTAGTATGATTTTATAATTTTGAAGTTAATTTCACTTTTCCGGTCCTCAAGTAGAGGAGGACATATAAACATAACCTTTACCTACCGCCTCTTTTTCACCCTAACATCAGTTACTGTCTAAAATTACTCATCGAGTGGGTGTTCCTGTCAAAGGGTCGGGAGTGATACGCGTGTAATTTTACATAGTACAAAATGCTGTACAAATTTCCTCTTCAAATGTTCGTACTGTCCGTAACGAATGGATACCAAAATAAAAATAAAAAAGACATATGAAAGCCAATCAACGCGTTCCGCTTACGACAAATTTACACATCACGATATCCAAACGATATTCGTCCAAAATAAAATAAAAATCGGTATCCAAATTTGCCTTTGCTCAAAAAATTTAAGAGAAAATAAAAAAAAATACTTTTATGAAGAATAAATATTTGTAACCTTTTTTTTAAAAAAAACACGATCTTTTATACGGTTGTACACATTACCAATTTTAATTTAACGACACTATTTCTCGTCAGTCCTTAATCACATATTAAAGTAGACCGCTTAATAACAGGGTTTGCAGTTTATGTATTGACATCATTTTTATTACATGTTATTTCAAAATAATTCAGAAGTGTCGTAGTATCGTTATTATTAATTAACTGAATTGAAAGATTCGTGTTTACTACGAGAGAAAAATCAAAATTTAGGCTATAAAAAGAATTGCCAAGGAAAATTTCAAAAGTAAAGAAAAATGTAACAGCCTATATATTCCCCACTGATGGGTAAAAGCCTCCACTGTACAGGGTGTAGGGTTTAGTCCACCACGTGACCTCACTCAAATGCACAGACAAAAAATATAGGTATATATTATTTTTTGCTGTTCGAAAATATGTAGGTTCCTCGGGATGTTTTCCTTCATATCCGTGCACGAGATAAGTCAGCATTTAAATTAACAATTTCATTGGTGCCGGAATTTACACTAAGGTTGCATTTGAATTAGAAGTGACCGGCCCGGATACTGAGATGTCACGATTCTTTTATCGATATCTAAGAGCTATTACAAATTTCATAAAGCTTTCCTTTATGCTTTAATTACAGTGCTTTATACTCACAGTGCACGTTCAATCTCCACTTATCCTCGATGGCTGAATCGGGTATGTGTTTGTTCTCAGCGCGGCACGTCAAATATTTGCCATCGTCTTCCACGCTAGGTACAAGACTTAGTACGCTGAGTGTTTCGTTGTTTTCCGAGAACTGCAAGATGGCAACGCAATATTAAATGCAAACTGAATGATCGGGGTCAGGGGCTGATTGCGTTTTATTTGGATAGCTCTTAATAATATTTCTATGTTTACTTTATATCCGAGATAGATGGTAATTTTTTGTCATGACAGAATAGTTAGCTGTTGTTATCGCTATTATTACTTTATTAGATGTTTTTAATGGATATAAAAAGTTACAATTTTTTTTTAATTCTTTTATCGTCAACATAAATTGTGACTACTGTATGGACAATAGATTTCAAAAACGGCCACGTCCCTTTGAAAACTTTACCCGAAAAAACACAATAAACAAATAGAGAGCAACGAGGCGATAAGAAAACAAAAACGAGATGACATCGTGAAAGGAGCCGCGGTAACGACCTTACATAATTCGCGGGTACACGGCAAAAACAATGAAGGACACAAGTCATTATGCAGCGGCCGCAGAAAAAGCGAAAGAGGGAATCTATTAATTAAAGCATAACGGGGATAGACAAAGGAACGGTTCTCTCACATTTTTCGCCATTCGCTTGAGTTGTCTATTATTCTTCCACCAAGTGACGGACGCCTCGGGCCGCGAGCCCGTCGTCTTGCACTCCACTTCGTATCTTTTGTCGGCGGACACTTGCTTCTCCTTTGTCAATATTGTCACTGTTATCGGTTTAACTGGAACGAAAGCCGTTAGTTATTTCACTTCTGTATTTACCTTCAAATTGATTTCTTATATGAACGCTATTTATATTGTTTATGAATGTTTGCAGTTTGCTTTTAAGATAAGAAAAGAACACTCACTAGAAAAGAACACTCACTAGAATACAGGATGCCTACACAACAAGTGATGTACATGAACTGTCATATGTCCAACTGCTGGGTAAAGCCCTCCTCTTGACAGAGGAGGCCTTGCTTCCGCCGTACACTCTCTGGTATAAGGCGGAACTCCACCACGCGATCCCACTGTGGATTTGTGGACTTCACGTATGTTCGAATTTTTTTTATTATTTCGAAAATGTTCAGATTTCCTCACGATATTTTCCTTCATAGCTAAGCTCGTGATAAGTCAGCACTTGAAATTAATTTCATTCATGTCGGCACTGGGACTTGAGCTTGGGTTTCTTGGTGTATTGAATTAAAAGTGAGCGCCCGGGCACTGAGCTATTAAGGCGTTTATATCTTGTGTATAAACTACCTTCTTTACGCGTCTTTTTATAGTCCACCAGATCTTAAAATATATGATGTTTTATAAGTAGACATTATGAAACATAGAGTTTGTAACTAACTAATAAAAAAGTGAGGGGCGGTATGGAATTTTAAAAGCTTTTACACATAATCCTTCATATTCTTTTGTTGCACGTCAGTAGCTACGACATTAAGTGTTGCGAATAAGTTTATTATAACCCGCTCTGCATGCTATTAATGTTCCAGACTACATATTTGAATACTAATTAAGTGCATGTAATATGTGTTAGCCCCATAATTACTTCCGTTTCTTACGAGCGTGGAAAAAATACTGTTAAAATATCGTTATATTAAAACTTTGGCGACTTTTATTCAACGTGGTAATTTAGTTGTACTTAAACCGTTTCTATATGATTATGGTAAACTTAAAAAAGCACGGTAACGAAGTTTTCAAGTGGTTTGTCTTTGAAAGTTAATACATTTTTTTTCACATAGACTTTTTAGGTGCAGTATCGTGATATTTTATAAAAGCACAGCCCAACGCCTATGACCCGTGTTATTATTGACACTCATATTATAAATGCAAACGTTTGTGTAAGCGTGATGGTTCCTCATTTACATCTCAATACCTGAATGAAATTTGGTACGGAGATTGCTCTTATCATTCCACTTGATCTTTATCCCGTAAAATATGTACTGCGAGAAAAGTATCGTAATTAAATTCAGAACTTTAGTGCTGTAATCTGGTCCAAGGTAACTGGACCAATTTCATTGATATGAATCAAAAAAGTTTTCACGAGTCATAAAACTTCCTTTGAATATTTCAAATTGCAATTTCAAATGATTTTTTTGCTTTGCTTTTTTTGCTTTCTTTTTAAAACATTGCCCTCACTTTAGGATAACATTATCCTGTGTTGCAAGGACGTTTTACAAACATAAATTGCACGAGGACAAACACCCAGATGCGAAACAACTATCTGTGGGTCGCACAAATAGTTGTCCCGTGTGGGAATCGAACCCACGACCCCCGACGCCGAAGCCAATACCTTGGCAACTGCACCACGGAGTCATCATAATTATTAGAATATAATTATTATATCTGTAATTGGTGCGTGTGTCTACTTTTATCTACTTGTCTAGAATAATCATTTATAACATTTTTATTAACAACAAACAAAACCGTATTTTCACTATGCAAACGTTTCCTATACCATTTTGAACAGTTTTCTAATGTATCTTCCAAACCCTCTTGAAAATATCTAAAATTGGACCCCTTGTAAATATATCCTTTCCAACAAAAATGAATCCAAATTGTTTTATAAATGACAGAATTCTGAGGCAACAAAAATAAACACTTACAACCCTATCAAGATCCTACTTCTTTTCGGAATATCGGAGTATACCAAATCGAGTATTATTTGTGGCAGGACCACGCAACAATTTTGTTGCATGAATGGGCAGGTCCGTTCGGGTAAAAACCACGACTTCGCAGAACGGCGTGGATTGCGTTTGTCTGGTGAGTGCGCTAGCCGAGACCCACTTTATTAACAGGTAGCAAAGCATCTGCAACGTCTATAATGTCCATGGGCGGCGGTAACCACTTAACATCAGGTGCCACCTTCTCACATAAAAGCAATCCACTTACGATTTATGTCCAGTATGAGGACTTTGGTTTCCGGCGGTGCCAGATTGGTGTTCGAGGCCTGGCAGACGAGCCGAGCATTCAGGTGCTGCCGTCCGACGTTGGGGAACGTTAGAGTGTTCACCGTCACGCCGTCTGGTCGCTGCTCGTACGAGTCGTCGATCACGACGTTTTCGAGATACCACGTGACCCGAGGTCGTGGTGCGCCTGCGAATGGAATGCACGATCAGTGCTGGACTACCTCAGTATTTATATTAGACACAGTGTATTTTTTTAACAAAAATTGCCCTTAGTTTAGAATAACATTATATAGCTGTGTTGTAAGGACGTTTTACAACCATAGATTTCACGTGGACAAACACCCAGATGCGGAACAACTATCTGTGGGTTGCACAATTAGTTGTCCCGCGTACGACCCCCGACGCCGAAGCCAATACCTTGGCGACTGCGAGTCATCAAGATATTAAATAGATAGACCCAGTGGATAAGGGGGTCTAGGCATGCTTGTGAATAGAGCGTTCGATTAGTGTTGGAATACCTCAGTGTTTATATTAGACACAGTGGATTAGATAGATACCCTAGTGGATAAAGAGATCTAGGCGTGTCTGTGAGTACAAAGAACGATTAGAGCTGGGATACCTGAATGAATTTATAGGAGAACGAGTGGATAAGAATGATCTGTTTAGGGCGTTCTTTTCTGATTCCACCCATTTAATAAACTTGGTTTCAACAAGGGCGAAAATAGTCAAATAGTTGTTCTTTATAAATTCGTTTTTTGGGTAACCATCTCCTTTAAAAGTGGGCAACACCACAGTTATTGTAGATATGATCGCCTTTTATGTACTATACTTATAACATCAGTTGAACCACTTCGTCACTCACCACCAGTTACTTATTTTTATTCAACACTTCTACGTTAATATCTCCTCACATAACAATGCAAATTTATACTATCGTGTACTAATTTTATCGATTTTCCAGTTCACGTATGTAAGCTAGCTTAATGAGGCATGCTAAATCAGATTAACAAAATGTTTGTCATACATAAGCCGTAGTAACCACTTTTCTCACTACTCAGATATTTTACGAGTAAGTCTAAGAGTTTAAATTTTATTAGAAAGTTAACGACCTTTATTCAAATTTATTACCTTATGAAACTTCCAAAAGTTAATTTAATTAGGCGCCGAGCCTTCAAAAGTATTTACTTTATTTCAGTTTTATAAGCTTACTCGCTTTAAGGATAAAACAATATTGAGCAAAGCTAATAATTATGTTGATGTAATTTTATTCAATTGTTAGGTTCCAAATACTTCTAGTAAATACAGTTAAACTCATCCACAATATTAAAGGTGAATAGGTTTTTATTGAGCGCGCTTACCATCAAAGGCTGCATCGCCACTTACCATCAGGTGGGATGGCAGTCAAGTGCTAGCCAGTTCAAAATAAAAAACTGACTGTAGCAGATTTAGCAAAAGGAATAATGAGGGTTTAAAAATAAGAGCACATCACTAATTTCATCCACAAACTTAATTTACAAATTCAGCCTGATGATAGTCTAAAAGCACTAAATTTAAAAAGATGTATTTAGGTGTTCGGAGTTGTTAAACAAAAGAAGAAAAAAATATTACGTTAAACAAAAGTCCAGTTGGGTTTTTGCGTCATTAAATCCGTTCTTCTGTAGAACGGAATCTTGTAACGTTGGTTTGGGAAAACAAATAAACTCCCCCAATTAATAAAAGTAGTAGTAGTAATAATGAAAGCTGAATTGTGCTCTGTCACACTTAATATGATATTATTTGCTGTTCTCCTACATTAGCCATTAATGATAAAAAGTAATCTACCTCAATACGTGTTGACTACTAAAACTTTATAAAACTGTATAAATGAAACTAATTTTACGGATTTATCGCGTTTATTTTTAATCTGACAGACTGACAGACAGTCTGTCCCGTGACCATGAACGCTGTAAAGGGTTCGAAACGTCGGGAACTTAAATTAAAAATAAACGCGATAAATCCGTAAAATTAGTTTCATTTATAATGTGTAATCGCGTAAATACAAGAAATTATTATTTTATAAAACTGGCTAAAGCTTTAGCTAATAAACAAAAAGAAAAACACTCTTTAAGTGCCCATAGGCATTTCCATAGCTCCGTCGAATGACACGAGTCGAATCTGAAATCAGTCTCCGAACAGCATCATTTCCATTTTAAATCTCTTATGTTGATCTTATCCGGTCACCGAAACACCAACCGTCCTTCCTCCGTGTGCATCGTCGATCATAACAGCATAGTTGTCGAATTCCTGCATCGTGATCGTCACTTTTTCGACGATAACTTGTTACTGACAATCCACTCGACGCGTCCGAATCGTCGGTCGAAACAATGGACGTCTCGTAAATGATAACCAAACAAAAGCGGTGGGCGGTAATGGCGTCAGAATGCGGTATCCCATCGTCAACGACACGGCCTCTGGATAACTTGTATTCTTTGAGAATACAAGTTAAGAATAGAACAAATATTTTTTTCGTAGTGTACAAGTATTTACGTAATATAACTCGTCTAACGTTTTAAATCGCCGACGTTTTAGATATTAGGGCAATTAAAAAGCATCACAGCAGTAAACCCATGCTACCGTCACTCTTTCATGATTTCCTGAAGCCCTAAATAAACTAATGTAACATTTTATTTTAACTTCTGTATTCTCGGAAGTACAAGAGATATTATAGAATAAGTTTCCCTCGTTAAATATGTACAGTGTTAAGACTTCTCTACAAATGTAACTGCGTGCCGTTACATTTAACATTTCTAGGATAAAGGAAGAATATTATTTAAGTTGTTATGCTTTGCACATTAGAAACGTAATAAAGCGAAAAATTGTACGAACAAAATTTATATAATATAGTAACATGTCTCTTAAAATGACTATAAGGTAATTAAAATTTCTGATGAGATATCACAAAAGTTATCATGTATCATGTGATTACAAGGAATACAAGAGCCCTAAGGTAGTATCTTTTTGATAAAATAAGGCTCGAAGTCAATAGCTACTTACATTAAAACCACAAAGAAACTTATATAGTTAACAAACCTTGAAGTGATCATTAAAGCATAGACAGTGTAGTAGGTATTCATATTGTCGGTCAATGAATCCCTTCCAGCATTACGGGAGCTGACTTTTTTGTAATGTAAATCCTCGTAATAACTGACCTTATTATATCTTCATTATAAACATCTTTATTAAAGAATTTAATATAATGAATACCCACGTTGTTTGGTATATTAAGTAATAAAATATCAAGTTACAGCGCTTTTTGCAAATTTAAGTACCTAATAAATGAAATGAGAAACAAAACAGGATGGATAAAATGGTTCCTTTTCATGATTAGTAGTAATGCTAAACAGTTCACGGTTCATTTAAAAACTTTAAGCTCTTTATACAACGTACGTGATGTCTACAACAATAATTTATAGTTACCATTTAAAATATAAAAAAGATATCACATGACACGTATCATAAATTGTCTGTGTTTTCGTTAATAAAACATCGACCGCCCAAAAGTCGACTCAGTATACACTTAGCGGCGTGTCAATCTAGAGACCGAACACTAATCGCGGAAAGTAAAAAATGATCCATCACGGTATCTGATGGGAAATGGGAAATCGCTACAAAGATTGATGGCTGTACTTGCGTAGACTTTTTGAGTTCCGCGGCCAATAATAAACGGTGTGAAAACTTTCCGAGCAATAAACACGAACTGGGTGCTATCAATTGGTCGATTTGTCTTTTAAATTTAGAATTCATTGTTCCCTTTTTTTTATTTCAACGCTCCAATCCGATGCAAAGTTTGTACAATAACAATGGAGGAGAATTACAATTCTCAATCAGCCATGAAAGAGATTGTGCCGAAATGTTTTCATCTAAAACTTCTGACCTGTGTGGTTCAAGAGATTTATATCAATGAGATTTCCATTTCTCTGTTTTTTTATGTTGTTCAGGGAATTAGTAAAAAGCGAAATTTAAAGTCCTTTCTTTTTTTACTTAATTAGTTTGAAAAATATAGATATTTTTTTTTATTATGATTTTTTTTAACGTTAATATTTTTTTATGATTATTGGCAAGTAGCGTTAGACGTGTGTTCATTTATTGTCGCGATGGTAAAGACACGCTGTATAAATGTCCCAATGCTAGGCAAAAATCTTCTCTGTACAGAGGGTATAAGTCTTCAACGGGGCGCCACTGCGGATTGGCGGACTTCACATATATCTCGATGTTTTCCTTCGCCGCTGAGCTTACCACGTGTAAGGCACCATTTCAAATTAATAATTTCATTGGTGCCGACTCCGGGGATCGAACTCAGGTAAATATCAGATCAATAATCTATATATTTAGAAATTTACTAGAATACTTAATTTATCTAGAAATTATAGTAAACCTACTCAGGTTGCTCAAGTATAATGAATTAAAAGCGAGCGTTCCGACACTGAGCTATCACGGCTCGGGGAATCAGTAAACTCGATTGAATTGGACAGCACGATACGTGTTCACGTGTAACTATTTGCAAGAGCTGTCATATGCAAGGAATGTTGTGTATTCGCGTAAACTTGGACTCGCAATTTACCTTTTATAATACGTCATGGGCAGAACTGATAGGTTTTGACAGGGGCAGGGCGAAGACTACAAATTGCAATATTGCTTTGACGTTTATTTAAAACAAGCTGCTCTAGGTATCATGCTGGACCATCATGCTTGAAAGATACAATCTCCAACCGTTTACTTTGTGATTCAACTGAAGCGAGGACAAAGTGACTTCCAGTTCATAGCAATTTTTACAAACAGTAAGTTTTAATGTCGTAGATCCACGCAGCTACGTTTGAAGATAGGCGTGCTATGTAATTATACTTCCGCATCACGTCTGGTAAGTAAGGTAACCAAGGCCTATATTTGTAAGGTTATATTATGATGTAAAAAAGGAATTGGATGATGTGTAGAACTAATCAATGCATTATTAGCATTGTCTTAATTTTATTAGTAGATTGATGATCGATATATTCAAACGAACAAATCGAAACGGTTTAAGGTTGGATGTCTTTTTACCTACATTTGGTTATTAAAGCTCGAGATGAAAAGTATTTTCTTCTCGTAATTTTCTAAATGTATAAACAATAAGGCGTTAAAGCTATTTTTTTCTCATATCTAACAAACTTTTATATCGTACTAATTTCAATTTTACTTTTTTATGGATCATCATGACCTTAAAACACGATTAGTACGAATGTTATAAGCTAATCGAAACTTCGATGGCTAAAGTCAATAACAAGCTGCGACAAAATACGTTCAGTAGTTTTATTAAAAGACACAAACCAGTTGATTCATTTGACCTATTATGTAGCCCTGTACATACAAGTCGGGCTGACTGGTCCGTAGTAGTAGCAATCAGACACCAATTATTTCCCAAACTCGAACCTGGCATTAGCGGTTTCAGACTAGCAACACAAGATGGCGTATTCACCGCCGCTGATTTTCTTATTACCTACACTGTGATGGGCTGTTCTGAGGTATCTACTCAGAAGAGCGAAAACTTGATAGGGCAAGAACATTTTTAAATTTGACATCACAGGAAACCGTAAACTATTATCTCTCGTGTAACATTCAATCTGATGAACTTGTGACAACAGTGAGTCTAATTACAAACATCAAAACCAAACCCATAGTCACTCTAAATTCCTTTTCTTTAAAAGCTTTGCAATAAATAAATACATATTTCGGGACAGACTTTAACACAAAGCTCTCTAGTCCCAAACTAAGCAACGCTTGTACTATGGGTTTACATACTTTTCTTTTGTAAATTAATAACACATATTATACGTGTATCTCCCATACACTGTAAAACACTACGTTCATCACACAATACTTTTACGGTAGTGGGGATCGAAGTAACGACCTTTGGCGCAAGAGGCAAGTTCATTATCCACTGGGCCAATCGGGTCACTAAAATAATGATTATATAAAAACAGATTAATTTATTCCGGCAATTTAAGCGGAGCTCCCAGCCACTTGTGCATACCATCGAAAAGCACTAAGCACGCATTGGCCGTTTTAAAAGCAATTCATCAGAGTAACGCAAGTCACTCTAAACATTAGAAAACGGATTACTCCAAAGCGCCCGCGAAATTGTTTACGAAGGGATTAAGGGGGCATTACTAACGTTTCCGTTTACATTTGAAAGTTTGGAATCGATTTCGCTTTTGGTGAAGTCTTACAGCGCCTTTGCTAACCAGTGGAATAAATGGTTCCCGTTGTTTTATTTTAATTCAACTTAAACAGACGAAGCACGATTTTTTACCTGATTTAATTTAGCTCAGTTGAATCGCGCGATACACAAAAGTAAGAAGATAACAGGGTCGAATTCTGGCAGTGACATAAAAATGTCCAACTCACATTTAAGCACCGTATTTTTCAACAATGATCAATTAATAATGCACATTTGTGGTTCTAATTTTGATCACATAATTATATGTAAAGCACATAATTATATAAGTAAATCTTTGAGCATAGTTTTAGCCGGTTATTGCAAATTAATGCCACCTCCGTCCATGTAAGTGCCACGACCTCGTAGAAGAGAATACGTTAGCAACAGTGCCACCAAGTCATCACTGGTATATTAATATAATTCAATTATAATCCAATCACAATAGAAAAAAAAAACACAATTTTAATCACAAATGTGTATGTTAAAACTGCCTGATTTTGAATTAAAGTCTATTCTACATAAAACACTTTTTTCCCTATTTATTTGGAATAGACGTATAAACAGTAGAAATTTATTGCTATATATTTACCTTTTTTCATGTTTCTAACAGTATAAAAATAATGGATGCAACTTCGCGAACCCCAGACTTATTTCTGTCATCTTACTTCATCAATCATATTCTTTATGTACGGAGTGTTTTAACTTCTGTTTTTCCTTATTTGTTTACTTCCCTATAAGTTTTCATTTCCATATTGTATAAACACCTCAAGCTGCTAAAATGATTGACTTGGAAAAATCTGTTTTAATTAACTGGATAACAGCGTGAGCTGATTTTTTTTCAACTCAATCATTGATTCCACATTTCTAATCAAGACGTATTTTTATTGTAACTAACCCAGTTTTAAAACTATTATAAAATAGATTTTTGTATCCTAGCAGAGTGATATTTATTAATTATTGGTGGACGCCGAGTGGTCCAAATTCAACCATGATTATTTTATAAGTTTATATAATAATATTAATCTATTCTTAAATACAATACACAATAAATAAAAGAGTATATATACGTATGTGTGTCAAATACAGGGTAATGTGTCTAATTTTTTCTATATTGATTTAATGTATTTTTAATCAGAAATAAAAAAAAATATTAGCATTCTGCACTCCTCTATATAGACTATAAGTATGGGAAATTTCATACTCCTCCGTCTTCGCAATTTTCGTAAAAAGGGGTACAAAGTTTTTGTTTCACGTATTGATATGTAGATTATAAAATAGATTTTCGCATCCTAACACGGTTATAATTAAATTAAAGTATCACTATATGACACTTATCACTTATTACAAACGATACTAAAGTTATATACTAACACTGAAGATTGATGGCGAAGGAGACACGAGATGCTGTGAGAAAACGGTCCTTGCGTACCGAGTGCTTGAATAAGCAATGAAAGGGGGAATTTTAGGGGTCCGTTAAAAATTCACCGACCTCCTTCCACCTCGCAAATGAGCAGCACGTTGGATCCCTCGTTGTATGGTTCCACGAGCTTCGCCCTGTCCCTCCTTTTCGCGTCGTAAATCGTCGGACGGCTCGGCGGTACTGTGAACAGAAACGTTAACGCTAATAACGTATGTTTAAGTATTTCGCCAGTATTGTTTATATATTATGTTTATACTTTATTTTACATTAAAAAAAATTGAAAAGCAAATTGCAAATGAGTTTAGAGAGCGATTTCTTTCAAAAAACCATTGCGAAAAGAATTTTTGCTAAAAGAAGAAAGCAGATGAAGGTGTACACGAATCACTTGTAAAAACCGGATGAAGGTTATAGAACGAAATAGTTGTAATATACATATTAACAGCGTTATGTTATCGAAGGTGCTATACCTGACAAGTCTCGTCAAACATAACGTTGAATAAGGAGAAAATAAAAGTATATAAGTAAATATAGCGAAGTTATAAAGATAGCGAAGTCAGTAAAATTTGAAAAGTTTGAAAGTTGACTGAGCTGCATATGTGTCATTCTTCTGAAACTTCATGAAAGATAAACTTAATAGCTTGTCGATGTACTTTTTCTGACAAGCGTCCGATAGTTATTTATTGATACGTTTCATAATTTATTTATTTACTATATCGGTGAATTCGGGAACAAAAGACTAAGACAAAAAAATAAAAATTTACACACAGCGCGCAGATATTTACAGCTGCTCCCGTAACTAATGTCACGCTGAGAACAAATTTATTATTAGTCGGTAGCACAATTAGTAGAACTATTACAATTATAGAGGACACATCACTTAATTAACATTTTAACAACGCAAAAAAAATGCCAATCAAAAGTTTGTAAACTAAATTAATATCCCGAACGGTGTTTTTACGCTCAGAAGCATGAAAACTGTTCCACGCGTAACTAATTTCAGTCCAGAATACACATGCGAATGCCCAGCTACCGCTTCCACCGTTGCACGAATGAGCAGGCTCTCTAGGGAATTAATGTGTGGTAGCTGTAGTAGATAAGCGTTAAATGGAAGTTTTATAATTCTGCGTTTCTCTGGTAAGTGTGAGAACCGGTCCCATTTTATTTAAAGGTTGTCAACGCATCTACAAGCCGTCAAGTTGCAAATGTCCATGTGCGGCGGTATCATTTAACATGAGGTGAGGCGCCTGCTCACTTGAAAAATTTTCACATAAACAAAAGCATAATGGTTTTGCGTCTCCTCTGGTGAGTGCAGAAACCGGAGTTAGTTGCCGGCCGTTCGATTCCTACTTGGATCGAATATTTTATGACCCACAGACGTTTTTTTCTGATCTGGTTAAGCACGTTTAGTTGGTTTGGGTTTGTAAAAAGCCCTTGCAACAAAAAATTATTTTATTCCAACAGGTTTTAAAAATGCACTAAGTTTAAATCTTGGCACCGTCGCCAACGAATTTTTTTATTACAAATTTAAGTGCTGCTTTTAACGGTGCTCGTTTCTCATGTTTTTTTTATTCTACAAAACAAGCAATCAGTTCTGAGACGATCGAAAAGAGTGTAAATACTTTAAATTCACGCCGGTTTGGTGGACGAGCTGAAATATTCATGCCGTAGGAGCTATTATGTAAGCCATTGTTGCTGCATCACTGTGAAATCTGGCTACATACTCACACATCCATACATGAACACGTAATGATCAAGAGTCAAAAAGTTGTTATTACATAACTAAGCTTCGATTGACTTTTACTCACTTATGACGCTAAAGTTCACTTTCAGATTGCGCGTCGGCGAGTTCTTGAAGTCGACCCTACACCTATACACGCCGGCGTCGACAGCCGCGACGTTGTCTATCATGAGAACAGCGGGGGTCGCACCACCGCGGAAGAACGCTCTGTTCCCGAACACGGTGGGTGACGACCACAGCTTGGGCTGGTTGTACGACCGGCCCCGGATGTCGTAACTGTGAACAACACGCACAGTGAATAGGCTATTTGTAATGTTTGATCTTTTGCTAAGTCCACTTTCTTAAAAGGAAGCGACGTATCTGTAAGCCTGTAAGCTTGCAGTTACGTCATACGTCGGATATTGTAGGTGCACGCGGCGGTTATCACTTAACATTAGGTGAACTATTGGCTTGCTTACCACCTTCCCAAATAAAAAAAATAATCGAGGACTATCGAGCTCAAAATAATTGAATGAACTCTGAATTATTGGGCACTTTTCTTTATTTAACTGACGTTTTCTCTTTCTGTTCGTATATATTAAAGGTTCATCGATTGCAAAGCTTATGGAACAGCTCGTGTTATGTATGACAGATTGTCGTCGTAGATTGGGCAGAAATGAGTGTGCTCCCGTATTCAAGGTGTTCTTTTAAACAAAAATAATTCGCCTATCGCTAACTGACGTATAAAACTAATAGATAGGGGAAATTAATGTGGCATTTAAATTCGATACTAAACGAGAATATTACATATGGATAAATGAGCAGATTTTAAACAGTGCACATAAATTTAAATATAGGCAGTCATGAAAAATGCCGTTAATATACTACATATTTCAATAAAAACGCTTTGAAGAGTTTATTCCGTTTTCTTTTTTTGCCACTTTAGACTTTATTATCGTAACGTACTAGAAACGCCATACTAGACACTATTTCAAAAGTACACGTTTCCGAATCGCACAGGGCTTTCAATGTGCCCATTCCGCTCCAGTTGCTAGAGAGGCTGGAATTACTCGTTTATGTCGTTACTCTCATTTTCGTAGCCCTATCTTTCCGATCAAAGTCGTGAGTACTCCAAGCTAAAAATCTTTGTAGACAAATGAACAGAAACTTTCGGCGTTTGATTCGAACCTTCGTCATCGACTCGCTTTACCAACGAAGCTAAGTAACGTAAATCGTAACGCTTACCTATAAAGCGGTTCCCCATCGGACTCCTTGAACCACAGCACCATTACGACCGCATCGTCGGCGTGCAACGGCTGGATGTCACACGGAAGTGACGCCTTCTTGCCCAGCACGCCCTGCACGTCTGATGTTGGCACTGTGGGCAAAATCTAAAGTTAACATTCTTTCACAAATTGTACAAACTAATCAGACGTTAACATGGCTGAAACGGTTTATAGGTCACCGTTGTAGGACGTAATGTCTACCCTGAACGGTTTTCTGGGACACGATTCGACGCTCACGATGCTATGTTATGAGACATTAGGAAGAAGGTATACTTTCTTATAACCAACGGAACGATAATATCCCGCCTTTAGATATAACGGTGACCAAATTTAGTAAGACCGATTTACCTATGATGATAATTATAGTCGATTATCGTAGAAAGAATGAAGATAGGTTTTTATATAATGTAATTATCGTTTACTGTGAAAATATTAACGGAGTATTTCAAATGTGGCTGAGAGCCGTGATAGCTCAGTGTCCGTAATTCAATATACTCGAGCAACCTGAGTTCGATCCCCGGTGCCGGCACCAATGAAATTGTTAATTTCAAGTGCTGAATTAATTATCACGTGCTCAGCGGTGAACGAAAACATCGCGAGGAAACCATCGCATATTTTCGAAATAATAATTAAAAAAACATTTCGAAGATATGTGAAGATCGCCAATCCGCAGTGGGGCCGCGTGGTGGACTATGCCCTGATACCCCATGCACATAGGAGGCCTTTGCCCAGCAGTGGGACATACTTTACTTTACTTTATTTCAAATTTACTTAGTCACACAGCAACCGATGTAACCGGACTGTAACTCCACTAGTGTCGTGGTCCGTGGATGACGGTGATCACTAAGTATCAGGTGAACCGCAGCCTCATTTGCCATTCGAATCCTCGCATAAATCAATTCTAAATTAAAGAAAGGTTTAATCTCGTGCAGCTATTGTATCGTACAGAACAATTACTGGCACTTTATTGCGTTGTAGCACTGTTGACAAGAACATTGCAATTTGCAAGGACATCCCATTGGAATTACTAGATTAGGAAATGCAGAGCCTTCTGGACAGATGAAACCGTCACTTTGCTTTTTTTCAGGTCCGTCCGGTTTAGTACCACGACCTCACAGAAGACCGGCGTAAAGTGGACGTGTAACACTTCTGCGTTTCGTCTGGTGAGTGAGGTAGCCAGGGCCCACCTTATTAATAGGTCGCAACACATCTGCAACCGGTGTTACAAATGTCTGTGGGTGGCGTTTATCACTTAACATTAGGTGAACCGCAAGCTCCTTTGCCACTTTTTCACATAAAAAAAAATACGTAAGTGTATCAACTGAACACCCAAAACCGAAGATCGAGCTGAGTCTGCATTGAGTCACTGTTGGCCAGTATTGGACGTAGACTTCTCCTGCACCGCTGCTAAAGTCAAGGACTTTGTCCAACACTGTATTAATATAAAAACGATTAGTATTAAAGATTTAACAACTCGCGAATCGTTACTACTATAATCGATTAATTAACGGGATCTTGGATTCAGTCCCCTGTCTTTTGGGTTTCGGTTTTCTTTGTTTAGACTTTTAGTGACCCAAAGAAAAGTTCATCATTCACCAGGTCCCTCGAACTTTCACCGAATGTACTCCGATGATAACCAAGACTAGAGATGTTTCATAAATATGTCTGACAAAGCCCCCACTAACCGATCTGTTTACATCCATCGATACTTCTTGTAGACTTTTTTATTTCCGAGAAATTGTTACTCAATCAATCGCCGAGTAAATAAACTCGCGCGCCACAAAAACTCCCTGGAGAGTGCACGCATAGATATCATCGAATCGAGTGGCATCCGCTCCGGCACTCGTTATAAGTGTTTGCCGAATTTGAAGCACACTTGACATAATTCGCCTTAGAAAATATTTATGAAGGAGCCTTTTGAAACTCGGCTCGCTCGAGTCTCGGGGCGTATTTACAAAGAAACTACCCCATGCGCCAATCCCGTAGCAGCGTATTCGTTATCATCGCAACGATAATACGGAAGCTGGTGTAGTGTTGCCCGACGACCTGTCATTAAATATAAAAAATTCTGTGGGAATTTTGAATCCAAGAAAATTTTTTTCGAATTTTTTTTGTTATTATTTCGAAAATATGCAAGTTTCCTAAATATGTTTTCTCTCACCACCGAGCACGTGATAAGTCGGCACCTAAAATTAACAGTTACATTCGTGCCGGCACCGGGGATCGAACTCAGGTTGCTCGAGGGTATTGAATCGAAAGCGAGCGCCCAGGCAGTGAGGCCCGATGGATCAAAAAAATATTTTCCATGTTTATCCCATGTGAAATAACAGTGACAGCGACAGTAGCGCTTGAGAAATATTTTCTCGACCAAAGCTTTTACAAACAAAGGAATTCGCCATTTTGGAACGTAACTGAGGTCTCTATCAGGTGCTATTGTGTTTAAGCGATAACGTGTTCTCGATAAAATGGGGTTTTTTATTTGCCCCATTTCAGATAACTTCGTATACGAAGTTATCTGAAGACGAAGAAGAAGAACATATATATGTTCTTATAAGAACATTGTTTCGATAAGCTACATTTAGTTAGATAACATGTGTGTGAAAAACTGCAGCTTGTAGGGTCAATAGAGGTAACCTATGTTTTACTGATTTTATTAAGTGACATTTTTTTACAGATAATGAATTATTAGTTTTATGTTAACTTTCACCTATACTCAGAAGGATGCAAAGCGAGCTATATCAACTTGCGGCCGCATTGTTCAATTTAAATGCAAAATTAAAAGTGAACTTATGGCTAAGGCGGATTATACCATTGTGGAATATCTTGACGACGCCAATGTGTGGAGTTAATACTGTTGATACTCACGTAGGCTAAAATAAGACATTATATTGTAAACTTTTCATATAAAAAAAGAGCAACTGTTGAGTATCTTGCCGGTTTCTTCTCAACAGAAACTGCTTTCCGAACCGGTGGAAACTTACGAACTTATTAATTTCTATGTAAAATTTCGACGTTTCATAAAAAGGCGCAAGACAAAAATGAATAAAAATGGTTTGAATTTGAGTAGGTTATGTTTGATCACTTCCCGGGTCAAACATTCGTTTGACTTGATGCTTTTCCGAACTTGGTTAGTCTACAATCAATAAATGTTTGTCAAATAAAGAGGGGCTGACAAAAAAAAAGGGAGAAGATTTTATCACGAAACCCGTCTCGGTAGCAACTCGGATCGATTTAACCTAGCAAATTCGATTTTATCTGCGTAATCACCATAAAATTTCATCGAGTAACTTAGGAAACAGGCTCGTCGATTCCTTCGTGTAAAGGATACTTACTGCCCCATTAACGCCTGATATAACGCTGATCCGAACATGGGCTTTAGTATTTCTCTAAAAATTACGTTACCCTATGTTAAAAGGTTAGGTTGCCAAAATTATATTTTCTTTGAAGCAACTTTACTGCTGATTCGAACTGAACTGATCATTATTTATATTTTTACATTTCGCTCTCTAAATCTTTAATGTAAGAGATATACTGTTTAAGTTTTGATTTTAAAATATATCTTAGCTATAAATTACTTTACTCGATAGATATTTTGAGACAGAATTTATTGAAGCCCCGTTGCTGAAGAAAGTACAATTTTAGTAGTTTGGGTACATTGTAATAGATTTAATAAAATACAAAATGGGTAAGTGTATATGTCGTCTTCATGCGTGATATTCATCAATATATATTACACAAAACACGGAAATCCCACGCAAATATAACGCCATAATGTAAAAATCAAGAGCGGACATAAATCGGAAATTGGATAACATTACGTGCCCGTTACCTTCGGATGAGACCACAATCATGGCCCATTAGGAGCGCGCTCACGTCGCGGCTTACGCTGATGGTGTGCGATTTTCTCAATTCAGCCGGCCACTGAATTTCAATACGCTCCGAGGCTGACGTCATTAGGCAGTACTCACACACGACATAAAAGTAAGGTGAAGTAGGTAACAGCCTAAATGTCCCACAGCTGTGCAAAGGCCTCCTCTTTAAAGAGGGTATCGGAGCGTAGTCCACCATGTGACCCCACCGCGGATTGGCACACGATATGTTGCATCCCATTCATTAATTCATAGGTTATTGGGATAGGAGCGAATTAGAGCAGAAATAAGTACACGAGAAAAAGGGACGGAGGCAGAAACTTTACTGCAATTCGTCCACATCATTGTGTTATACATAATTTATAAATAGGTATCCGAGTGCTGAGTGGACACGAGTTCTTCTTGTTCATGCTTCGGGCCAGTTTAAACTTTTTTATTGGCCTGTGTGAATATATTAATTACCAAGAATTTTAGGATAGGCATATAAAATACTAGCTGATCCAGCAAACGTTGTTTTGCCATATAAATTAAATTGTTTGGGGTGGACCACCCTTAACATTTAGGGGGATGAAAAGTAGATGTCCGATTCTCCACCCTGGCCGGTATGCACAAATTTCACGAAAATTGGTCAAGCCGTTTCGGAGGAGTTCAATTAAAAACACCGTGACACGAGAATTTTATATATCAGATATAAAATATCTACATATTTTTGAAATAATAACAAAACAAAATACGCATTGGGGCCGCGTGGTGGACTATGCCCTGATACCCTCTGTATTGAGTCCTTTGTCCAGAAGTGGGACGTGTACTGGCTCTTACTTTACATTATGTTTGCGTGAAAAAAGTGTATTATATTAATATTATTTAAATAGTGATTTAGAACGTGCTAGTTTTCTAGCTGTCTCATCTAAGGAATCAATTAATTTGCTTCACGATTTAATATCAAGTTTCTTTACGATGCCAGCTAAGCTCTGACAGCATTGCTGGTGGAATCTTTCTAGTAGAATCAAAACATTTTAAATAGTAGATCATACCAGCAGAGTCCATGAGGTGCTAGTGTAATCTATGCTGTTTAAAAATTACACTACCACAAAATGAACGCAATAACAATAGATTATGTTATAGACCTACATAAAACTAATTTTAAAGATAAAGTATCAAGATATTTCGCAGTGCTAGTGTAATCTATGCTGTTTAAAAATTACACTACCACAAAATGAACGCAATAACAATAGATTATGTTATAGACCTACATAAAACTAATTTTAAAGATAAAGTATCAAGATATTTCGCAGTGCTAGTGTAATCTATGCTGTTTAAAAATTACACTACCACAAAATGAACGCAATAACAATAGATTATGTTATAGACCTACATAAAACTAATTTTAAAGATAAAGTATCAAGATATTTCGCAGTGCTAGTGTAATCTATGCTGTTTAAAAATTACACTACCACACACTGGACGTATTAACAACAGATTATGCAAGGGCGGATCCAGCTTTGGTGCCAGGGGGGGTCACGTAGTCGTGGTCAAGTGATAAGAAGTTATAATTATATTTTTATAATCATAGATACAAGTAAAAAGTAGGTACTTATTTTTATCCGACTTCAAAAAGAAGGAGTTTATCAATTCGGATGTTTACATTTTTTTATGTAGGTATGTTCGGTCATACCTTCGTCAGATATAGACGGATTTGCAAAATTCTTTTTAGTTCGTAACATTTCGTTGCTTTTTATTATCATATATTATACAAGGTGGCTTTTATAAAGGTGCCCATATTCACACAGGAGGTTCAGACTCGGTAGTATAATCGTTAATTGAAATAAAAACAAACTTTTTTAAAGAAAAATTAGCATTCTATTCCCTAAAAACAAACTTGTTGACAATGATATAGTCATTCATAAATGCGTCGTATACTTTTGAAATGAACTTATGTGCTTGCGGGACACGGTTTAATAATAATATATAATCAACATTTGGGTTGATTATATATTATTATTAAAAATAAAAAATAGCCGTACACAAAATAAAATTACATCGTCCACATTAAAAAAATGTTCATAAATAACAAAAAAAATATTTATTCATTCATTCATAATATTCAGGGGGACATCTAATCAAAAACAGAAACCACATTCACAAAAAACTTTATTTCCCAAAGATGGTCTCGCATACTCACGTCCACTAAACCACCACATCGCACCACTCATCAAAAACCCACCCATTAACACAAATCAAACTCGACGCAGTTGTGTTCCTTAATTACTGAGTTCCTATGGCCACATTCCAGCTCTGTCATCAGATCCTGGTTACTATCTAGCACCAAAGAACTCGTCATGGCGAATCAAACGAGCCGAGACACAATAGGGTTGCGTCGTTTCTTTACTGAGTTTATATGACTGTCTTTCAGCTCCATCATCAGATAATGGTAACCATCTAAAAATTAAGTACTCGCCAAGACGAATCAAACGAGCCGAAACTCGATGGGGTTGAGTCATTTCATTACAGAGTAGTCATAGGAACCTCACAGAATAGACTCATAGACTTCACAGAAGATCGGCGTAAAGTACTTCTGCGATTTGTCTGGTGAGTGAGGTAGCTGGAGCCCACTTTATTATAAGGAGAAAACGAATCAGAAACCCTATGCATATGTCCATGGACGGCTGAAGATGGAGCTCCATCATCAGATCCTGGTTACCAATGAAAGACAAACTACTCGTCAATACTATTCAAATGTACTCAAACCCGATGAGGCTCTGTGGTTTGATTCGAAGTTCCTATGGCCTTCCTTCCAGCTCCATCATCAGACCAGCACCATGTCATAAAAATATTGCATTGTCTCGCGATTTACACATGTATACAAAATATCAGCTCAACCGGGAAGTAGATCAAATTTAAATTGCAAGATTTGATTTGATGATTTAAAATTAAAATATTGTAAAAATGTTCATAAAATGAAAACTACTTGGCCAAAATATGGTAATTTTTTATGGGACCAAATGGCAACTATTCTGCATCAAACTAAAGAAGAATCACGTAAATCGGATTACGTTGAGATTTATGATCCGATTTCAACATACATCGAAAAAATATATACCAATCGAATTGAGAAACTCCTCTTTTTGAAGTCGGTTAAAAATCTTTTTGAATCGGTGTACGATTACGTTGAGATTTATGATCCGATTTCAACATACATGGAAAAAAAATATACCAATCGAATTGAGAAACTCCTCTTTTTGAAGTCGGTTAAAAATATTACATTATTTATTTAAATATTGAAGGTACTTATATATTAAAACATTATGTTTAACAATTTTAATTAGTGGTCCACCTAGGTCCTCGTCTCAGCCCAGGGGGGGGTCTGCATCCGCCCTTGAGATTATGTTATTTACCTACATATAACTAATTTAAAAGATAAAGTATCAAGGTATTTCGCGTTAGAAAACTATAAGTCTAAAGGTACCTCGCCTCGCATTCAAGGTAATAATCATAAAGGAAAATTACCCTTCGCCTTCCCTTCCATTGTAGTTCTTATGTTAATCAGCCACTTATTGTATCCGATTTATTCAACGTTATAAACAAAATGACTTTATTTTCATATTTCAGGTGTGTATTTTAGAAATTCGTGTGATTACATTAAGTTGATTCTGATGAATATCAGACACGAATGTAAGCTTTGGATTATGTTTTTTGTTGGAAATTCTTCAATTTTTATTCATCATTAAATTACAGAATGGATATCAAGCTAACTGACTTAAGTGTAAAATCCGTATACATAATGTAGACGTGGCCACCTAAAATTTACTTTTATTATTCTATTCCACAGTATAAAATTTTCTAAAATATTATGTGTTATAAAATTTCATCGAATCAATTACACGAACTTAGTCTAGCACTAATCTTATATTAAATTCTCTTTATAAAATCAGATAATTAGTACACAAATGGCCCATTAATAACGCACCCCCGTCTCTCCGTAGAAAATTAGATAACAGCTCTGCCAATCTTATTTCCCTAGAAAGGTTCTTATAATCTCTTTAAACTTCCAACCATACTGGAAGTACCAGCGATAGGCATGTATTAAAGCGATTTCTCTAACAGTCACGCTTACATTCCAATCTATGAATAATGATGGTATTTAGATAATAAAGTGTGTGAATAAGACGATGATAATCAGAAGATAACAGATAACTAATGTCTTAATAGTAAACAACAATATAATGGAAACTTTTTACCCGGCTAGATTGAACATCTGCCCATGGTCAACAGAGGTATAGAAGTATTGCTCATGCTCTAAAATGACAGACCATTTCACAAGAACTTAAACATCAAAATAGCCGAATTATTAATTTGGACAATCTTCATTAATTTACCTTTGTAAAAAGGGCCAGTATAATATTAATTGGTTTGTGTTCGTTTTTTTAAATTTCTATAATTGATTTAAAATAGATAACACTAGCGACCTGTTCCGGCTTTCCACGGGTGCAATGTATTATACATATGAACCTTCCTCTTGAATCACTCTATCTAGTAAAAAGAACCGCATCAAGATCCGTTGCGTAGTTTTAAAGATCTAAGCATACATAGGGACAGACAGACAGCGGGACGACTTTGTTTTATATTTATCTAGTGATGAAGAGTACGGATACAAATTTCTTTTAGAGTTTTTGCTAAATTTACGCACTCCTGGAAAAAAGTGAATTTGTTTCTCATTAATTTAGGTTCATGATGAGCATCTTTACGTTAACATTCGCGAAATAATCTTACGTAAATAAATATACTCTCATAATGTATAAAGAAAATGACGCCATCGGCCGGCGAGCGGTCGTATGCGAAATTAATTGTTTGTCCGTCACTGCCGGGTACTGACATGGGAGACTAGTTCAGACGAAAATAATGAGGAACGTCGCTGGGAGCAGCAGCTTGGTAAAAAAAGCGAACATGGTACTGCTTTTCATTATGATAAAAAAGAGCATTGC